ACATCTACAGGACCTTAAATTCCAATATTAACCTTGACCTAAAATGCTTTCTTGATAGTTGTGACAGAACCCACAGGCACAACACCAGACACAAACATCTCTATGACATTCCCCGTGTCCGACTAAACCTTTACAAAAATTCAATGTATGTCAAAGGCCCTAAAATCTGGAACACCCTACCTGAAAATTCCAAAACTGCAGACACATTCATCACCTTCAAAACTACCATCAGAAAACATCTTATCTCCCTGATACACCCTGTCAACTAATAATACGAATACCACCTGGTGGGTCACACTTACACTCACTCACCCATTTGACCATAAACAGAAATATCAATCTCAATCTCAAAATAATGAATCTTAACTAGTCATAAGTTGGCCTGTGATACTCCAATACTGAAACTATGTATAGTGCCAAAACAAAAGCACTCACACTGCTAAACTCACAACTAGTATTTAGTCACTTAGCCATAATACCAACTTACCTCATAATTTTGTAACATTTTAAACTTAAGATTTAATATAAGTCTGCCCGAAATGCCTAGCCATGCTAGGCGTTCTAGTGGTACACTCTGTAATTACTATTTTACTACATGTAAACCACACAATAACCAAATTCTGTAAACTCAGCATTGTAATCCTTATAGAGAATAAACTTTGAATTTGAATTTGAATTTGATTTTGGAAAGCAATGGTAAGTTTGATATTGGCCTATAGTTGCTTACATCTGTAAGGTCACCACCTTTATGTATTGGTATAACCCTTGCTGTCTTGAGTAGTGTCGGGAAAGTGCTAGTTTCTAGTGACTTGTTAAAAAGCAATGTAACAGCATGCGAAAGGACATGGGCCGCTCGCTTGTACAATAATGGTGGGACATGAGACAGATTCCCTGAGTTATTTTTGAGTGACTTTATAATCGCAGTGACTTCCGTGGGCTCAGTTGATACAAGATAGAGGGAATTTGGAAAATTCCCATCTAGGTAGTCCCCAGCACGGGTGTTGGTATGTGGGATTTTACTGGAGAGATCAGATCCTATGTTTGAGAAGAAGTCGTTTATCTTGTTAGCTGTATCAGTGGGATGCAGTGGTGTTTCACTAGGTTTGGTTAGGACAATATTCTTGGTTTTTTCAGTTTGTGGGTCCCCAGAATCTGGGAAAGTGTTTTCCAGGTCTTTTTTTATATCTCCTGTGTCAGTGAATCTGCTGGAGTAGCACAGTTGTTTGGCTTTCTTTATTAATTTGGTGAGAACTGATGAATATTGTTTAAGAATATCTTTGTGTATTAAGCCCTGTCTATATTGCTTTTCATATTGGTGTTTCTTATCAATGGATTTCAGAATGCTGCTGGTTAGCCATGGGCAACCGAGCCGTTTATTCGTGATCTGTTTCATTTTTATAGGACAATGTTTGTTATATAATCTAAGTATTTTGTTAAGAAAAATGTCTGTCCAATTGTCAATACCATTGTGCTTGGGGATCAACTGCAGCAACACACCTAAAGCCAATAATAACCCAACAAAAAGCTGCAGTAAGAATAATCACTAAATCCCATCCTTGGCAACACACCCCCCCCCCACTCTTCATAGATCTAAACTTACTCCCTGTTCAGTACATCCACACTTACTACTGTGCAATCTACATCTACAGGGCCTTAAACTCTAATATCAACCTTGACCTAAAACGCTTTCTTGATAGTTGTGACAGAACCCACAGGCATAACACCAGACACAAACATCTCTACGACATTCCCCGTGTCCGACTAAACCTTTACAAAAATTCAATGTATGTCAAAGGCCCTAAAATCTGGAACACCCTACCTGAGAACTCTAGAACTGCAGACACATTCATCACCTTCAAAACTACCATTAGAAAACATCTTATCTCCTGATACACCCCGTCAACTAACTACACGAATACCACCTGGTGGTTCACATTTACACTCACTCACCCATTTGACCATAAACAGAAATATTAATCTCAATCTTAAAATAATGAATCCTGTGATACTCCAATACTGAAACTATGTACTGTGCCAAAACAAAAGCATTCACATTGCTAAACTCACAAACTAGTATTTAGTCACTTAGTCATAATACCAACTTACCTCATAATTTGTAATATTTTACAATTAAGAATTAAACTAAGTCTGCCCGAAATGCCTAGCCATGCTAGGTGTTCTAGTGGTACACTCTGTAATCATTATTTTACTACATGTAAACCACACAATAACCAAATTTCTGTAAACTCAGCATTGTAATCCTTATAGAGAAAAAACTTTGAATTGAATTGAATTGAATTGGAGAATTCTATAGGCCAGCCAACAGTCTCTAGGTCTGCTGTGAAATTCCTTATTGAGGCCTTGTCATGGAGTCTAAATGAAACTTTGTTGTATTCGAGTGGTGGCTTACTAATGTTTGTTAAGAGGAAGGTAGGGTAGTGGTCTGTAGTGCTGTCTGTGATTATCCCTGATTTAAGAGGGGCTAGTATATTGCTCCATATGTGGTCTATTATGGATGCACTTGTCTCAGTCATCCTGGGTGGTTTAGTTATTGTTGGTATGAGAAGTGTGTTGTTCATATTGTTGATGAAATCAGTTACAGGCTGATCATCTGGTAGGCCAAGGTTGATATTGAAGTCTCCAGCTAAGAGAAGGTGGTGCTTGTTCATTTGTCTGTTTGTTATTAGTGCCTTTAGATTCTCACTGAAATCTGGGATGTTTGTGTGGGGTACCCGGTAAATGGCACCAATTGTTATAGGCGTCTTAAGGTTTTTTACAGTAAAATTAGCAAAAATGTATTCCCCATATTCATCACTAAAGCAAGTGGTGCTAATACAAGATAGTTGGTTAGAGTAATAGATTGCAATATCACCCCCAACTTGGTATGGTCTGCAGTTGTGGATTTCTGTGTATCCTGGTAGTGGGTAAATATCTATTGTGTCCTGCTTAAGCCAGGTCTCGGTAAGAATAATGCAGGAGAAGGGTGCCTTTAGCGACTCAAGGAGTGCCAGGAGGTCATCATAGTGTTTGCTTAAGGACCTGATGTTGTAGGTAAGAACTGATAGACTTTGAGCAGTGTTCAGGATAGTGCTGGCTTGTGATGCTGTGTAATAAAGACAGTTACTTTCCAATAAGTTTTAATTGTGTGTTAGATTATGGAGGTTTAAATCAGGGTCAACATGATCATTCATCTTTTAGGTTTAAACGGTGGTTATTTATACCCTGTATTGTGCGGTTAGTTCTAATACTGATATCTGTAGTAGTGGGAAGGTTGGATAAGTATATAGCTAAAGAACTTTGGTCATATAGAGTATAGTCACTAATAAACATAATGAAGTTGAAATTGTTTATGTGTTGTGCTAGAATGAGCTAAAGTACAACTAGGTATTAACTAATACTATAAAAATACAAATTACAAATAGCACCAGACTCACTCTTATAATTGCACTAAGGTCTAATATAATGAATTTGATGTTGTCTATGTATTGACTAGAATGAGCTAAAGTACAACTAGGTATAAACTAATAATATATGAATACAAATTAAAAAGTTACAAGACTCTCACTTGCAATTGCACTAAGGTCTAATATAGGTTATTAACAAGAACAAGAGTATAACTAGATTGAACTTGACAAGATAAAATACACAAATTAATGTTCCAAAAGAATAAAATAGAAAAATAAAAATGGCAATGACTTGGTTATAATATGATAGTAAGATGGTACAAAGGATAATATAAAGGTTGGAGATGAATATACAAACTTGAAAATTTGGCAACAAAAGGTTAAGAAAAGTATAAAATAATGATTAATGTACAAAAATAAAACTGACTGGTAGTAAATATGGTGTTTAATAAAATTTTAGTAAGTAATAATGATTACAAGAAATATTAATTAATAAAAATAAAATGAAAAAGAAATGTTTATTTCAAGTACGTACTAAATTTTAAGAACAGTTATTTGGATTCAATATTTAATGTCATGTTTAATGAGTGATGGGAGACTTGTTGGTCAAACCACTCACCTGGTGCAGCAGCATAAGCCATACCACCTTCCTTGTCACTAAACAAATTTTTTCATATTTGTTACTTTTTTTTTTCAACAAACTTGTTCTTTGTTACTTTATCAAATGCATTTATTGTTGGTACTTGGTTGTTTAGCATGGGTATTTGTGTTTTTTTTTTTTGTTTTTTGTTTTTTAGTTTTTATGAAACTTGCTGAAGAAATGTTAATTTTTTAAAATTACGATTTTTTGGGAGAAATGTTCATTTTTTCCTCAAAATATGAAACATATATAATGAGGCACTGTAAGAAAGTACTTACAAAGGCATGCCCTATCAAACTAAAAAAAACAAAAACTCGATGATGTATTCATACAAATGACCCTTCATCCAGCCAAGGCTCTGCTCCACATAGTTTGGATTAATGAGAACTCACAGTGCTTTTACGTTTTCATATTTAATATGCAGTAATGAAATGTATTATGAATGATATACAGTAAGTTTATGTAGTCTTTCTTTTATATTTTGCCAGAAAATCCAAGTGGGGAAAAGGAGGAAACTATTCCCCCTTTATTCCATCTTACAGACACACAAGGTACTGGAATTTGTAAACTAGGTTCTTGACTCCATGTTTTAATGTTACTAAAATTAAAAATATGCAATCATCTATGAATACAATGTTTTTATGACAGTATTATTAACCCGTAAACGGTCCGAACGTATATATACATTTTCACAGCTAGTGCCCCAAACGTATATATACATTTTATTTGTCATACATTCAACATTGCCAGGATAAGCCTGAGTCACCTAGACATGAGAGAATGGGTGTGCGCACTCACTGTGCACCATATTAAAATAATTGGGGATGCCTGGGTACCATATGCTCTTTTTTCCTATTAAAAAAAACGATTTTTTTTTCCTCAAAAAAGTTGGGGCACTACGGGAGAGAACATATATATACGTTTGGACCATTTATGGGTTAACAAGAAACAAATACCTTTGAGAATAAATAACTTCAAGAAGGGTGGTGCAGTGCCATGCATATAAAATGAGAAGGAAAGACAATTGCCACTGTCACTGGATTCCAAAACTTCAGAGAACAGATTAACGAGGCTCAGGGGGCCAGTTGATGCAATATAGATGAAATGACCTGTTGATAAAATGCAGGTGTAAAAAAAAAAATATTAAAATATCTTAAAAATATTAATAATTAAACTTTACAGGTTCATATATAGTATGTATATAGAACTAATTGTAACTGTTTTACATGATGGTAGGATTGCTGGTGTCTTTTGTCTGTCTCATAAATATGCAAGATTACAGGTACGTCTTGCTACTTCTTCTTACACTTAGGTTACACTACACATAAATGTAAAAGCATATATACACACACCCCTCTGGGTTTTCTTCTAGTTTCTTTCTAGTTTTTGTTCCTGTTTATTTCCTCTTATCTCCATGGGAAAGTGGAACAGAATTCTTCCTCCGTAAGCCATGCGTGTTGTAAGAGGCGACTTAAATGCTGGGAGCAAGGGGCTAGTAACCCCTTCTCCTGTATATATTACTAAGTGTAAAAGGAGAAACTTTCATTTTTCTTTTTGGGCCATCCTGCCTTGGTGGGATACGGCCGGTTTGTTAAAAAAACAAAAAATATAGAACTACATTGTGTGTTTCTGTTACACGTCAGGTATTGGTCACAAAAATGCATGTCATGGCTCTCTGGGAAAATTTGTGGTTTTGAGCATCAGTGATGTATGAAGCTTGGCTATGCTGGGTGCCTGTATAATGTAGTCTTGCCTAATCTTACAACAGAAAAAAAAATAATTTATGATATATAACAAGTGTGATACTGTAATATACTTTATTTACCAATTATTTATGAGAAAGCAGTATGTTATTGCTTTAAATAACAATAATTTGTGATGAGTACATCCTATATGTTACCTGGCAGTCAAAGAACCTTAGCAGAAACCTGATACCTGGTCATGTTAGTGTCTCCTTGGAGACACCCTATGGATCCCAACAGTGCCCCATGGAACATATGTCACAATTGCAATACATGGCATCAGGTTCCAGCAGCAACTCTATAATACATATATTCCTGCATATGTCTTCCCAGAGAACAGACCTCAGCACATACTTCCCAGAGCACAAATCTCAGCACATACCTCCCAAAGCAGATCTCAGCACATACTTCCCAGAGCACAGATCTTAGAACTTATTTCCAAGAGCACAGATCTCAGTACATACATTTCCAAATGTAGGTGAGCTAATAATAATTTTTTTAACACAATGGCTATCTCCCACTGAGATAAGGTGACCCAAAACTGGAAACACTTTCACCATCATTCATTCTATCACACAGTCTGTCTTGCCAGAGACATGCCAACATCCTCACCCTTCCTTCAGAATTAGGGCACTGTACTTCCCACCTCCAGGACTCAAGCTGAGCTAACTGGTTTCCCTGAAACCCTTCATAAATGCTATCTTGCTCACACTCCAACAGTACATTAAATCATAAGGACACTTGCCCCCACTCCTACATAACATGCTCACACAAGATATTTAACTGAACTTAAATACATATTCTTTTCAATATAATTGTGTGTTACATGTGGTTGCATGTTGAATATAAAATGGACAAATTATCTCGGAACACTTTTTTGTACATTTAAAAGAAAATCCTACTCAATAAACTATGTCAAGTTCTTAAGTAGTCTGTAAGCATTAGGATTAATCTGCCTGAAATGCACTACATATGTGGCTTTCTTTTGTGTTTAACAATATTTTATTACATGTACACTACATTTTATATACTGAAGAACAGAAATAAAATTATACTGTAGTGAATAGCTATATTTCCAAAACAAACAATTGAAACTGTTGGTTTCCAAGACCTTCCACAGTATGAGCCAGTCTGGTAGTCATCATGGTGCAGAGCTATAAAATATTTTGATACTGTATGAATATAATTAGGGGAGCAATGTGGCAGATGTTGCAAGTATATGGAATAGGTGGTAAGTTACTAAATGCTGTAAAGAGTTTTTAAGAGGATAGTGAGGCTCAGGTTAGGGTGCGCAGAAGAGAGGGAGACTACTTCCCAGTAAAAGTAGGTCTTAGACAAGGATGTGTAATGTCACCATGGTTGCTTAATATATTTATAGATGGGGTTGTAAAAGAAGTAAAAGCTAGGGTGTTCGGGAGAGGGGTGGGATTAAATTATGGGGAATCAAATACGAAATGGGTATTGACACAGTTGCTTTTTGCTGATGATAATGTGCTTATGAGAGATTCTAAAGAAAAATTGCAAAGGTTAGTGAACGAGTTTGGGAGTGTGTGTAAAGGTAGAAAGTTGAAAGTGAACATAGAAAAGAGTAAGGTGATGAGGGTATCAAATGATTTAGATAAAGAAAAATTGGATATCAAATTGGGGAGGAGGAGTATGGAAGAAGTGAATGTTTTCAGATACTTGGGAGTTGACATGTCGGCGGATGGATTTATGAAGGACGAGGTTAATCATAGAATTGACGAGGGAAAAAAGGTGAGTGGTGCATTGAGGTATATGTGGAGACAAAAAACATTATCTATGGAGGCAAAGAAGGGAATGTATGAAAGTATAGTAGTACCAACACTCTTATATGGGTGTGAAGCTTGGGTTGTGAATGCAGCAGTGAGGAGGTGGTTGGAAGCAGTGGAGATGTCATGTCTAAGGGCAATGTGTGGCGTAAATATTATGAAGAAAATTCAGAGTGTGGAAATTAGGAGGTGTGGAGTTAATACAAGTATTAGTCAGAGGGCTGAAGAGGGGTTGTTGAGGTGGTTTGGTCATTTAGAGAGAATGGATCAAAGTAGAATGACATGGAGAGCATTTAAATCAGTAGGGGAAGGAAGGTGGGGTAGGGGTCGTCTTCAAAATGGTTGGAAGGGGTAAGGGAGGTTTGCGGGCGAGGGGCTTGGACTTCCAGCAGGAGTGCGTGAGTGTGTTCGATAGGAGTGAATGGAGACGAATGGTATTTGGGACCTGACGATCTGTTGGAGTGTGAGCAGGGTAATAATTAGTGAAGGGATTCAGGGAAACCGGTTATTTTTATATAGCTGGACTTGAGTCCTGGAAATGGGAAGTACAATGCCTGCACTCTAAAGGAGGGGTTCAGAATATTGGCAGTTTAGAGGGATATGTTGTGTATCTTTATACGTATATGCTTCTAAACTGTTGTGTTCTGAGCACCTCTGCAAAAACAGTGATTATATGTGAGTGAGGTGAAAGTGTCGAATGATGATGATGAAAGTATTTTCTTTTTGGGGATTTTCTTTCTTTTTGGGTCACCCTGCCTTGGTGGGAGATGGCTGACTTGTTAAAAAAAAAAGAATATAATTTTTTTTATAAATTTTCACTTATTTTTTGGTATCATATAAAAAACTATTTTGAAATGGTTAATAGCCTTTTCAAATAATATTTCCACATAATATTTGCACACAATACAATACAAATATGTACAAATATTCATTAATTATTTTTTTCCTCTCAGTTATAAAAATATTTACATAGTACGTAGGTTGATTATCATTTTACATGTGATTTACCGTTTAGAAAGTCTGTAAAACTAGGCAAGACACAAAAACACACATGATTCTAGCCACTGGAGCACTTCAGAGAAGTTCTTGACATAATTCTGCTCAGGTTACATTCATTTAAGTTTTATTTATTGTCTTCATAAAATTATATTATCCTGTATGTTTATGTAACAAAACTGATATCATTGTCACTGCTTTTTGGAAGAATGCTGCATAATGCAATAATACAAGTATCTACTTTATCCAGAACTGCATACTCATGCAATGAATGCTAAATTGTTACTAAAATTTCTCTCATGTGATATGAAGGGCAAGGATTTTTTAGCTAGATATAAATAGTGAAAATGTTTCTTTCTTTTTTTGGGTCACCCTGCCTTGGTGGGAGATGGCCAGTGTGTTGAAAAAAATATATATAAAAGTACCATATTTACCTCCTGAAAGGTGAGTCGTGTAGTCAACTTGAGGGCCTAAAGGAGAGTTGATAATTTCACCAGTGCTTAAGATCCAATCTCGTCCATCAGCAAGATCCTGCCTCCAACCACAGAGATTGCCATTTTCAAATGTGCAGGTCAGCTGTGTATCAGGGGCTGGTGTGGAGATGGGAACTACAGTAGTTCCAGATGATTTACATTCTCCAAGTGAGAACTCCACATCATCTAGTGCATTGTATGCTGTCAGGAAAATTCTCATGTAAGTAATTCTGTAGAAGCATTAACTAATACTGTACAGTACTATAGTGAAATGAATGCAAAATTTCTCAGTTACGACACAATGTCTCAAATAGGTTTCTCATGACTATGGGACTAATTTATTAATTTTGATACCATGTTAATATTTGTCTTTTTTCAATACTAATTAACATTAATGCATACAGTATGTAGAAAGTAAACAATGTGCAGAGGTTGAAAAAGGAGTTTATAAAAAAATCAAAGAATTTTAATTCTACATTACGTATCATCTTCAAGTCTGGCTAGTCAATTTAACTAAATCTCTTCATAAATATTTTCATGCTCAGACTCAAACAGCAAGTCCAACCCCAAAAACCACTTACATACAGTATCTCCACTCAAGCCTCTACCTCCTTCACACCTTTTTTCCAAATTTTTCTGGGATGTTCCCTACACTACCTTCCATCCACCTCAGATTTATACATCTGGATCTATTTTTTTTTTTAACACATTGGTCGTTTTCCAATGAGGCAGGGTGAGTCAAAAAGAAAGAAAAAACTTTCATCATCATTCAACATTTTCACCATCATTCATACATAATCACCGTCTTTGCAGAGGTGCTAAGAAATGGCAGCTTAGATAATTTTTATTATCCCTCCAAACTGATAATATCCCAAAAACCATTGTATACTTCCCATTTCCAGGACTCAAGTCTGGCTAACTGATTTCCCTGAATCCCTTCACATAATATTATCCTACTCACACTCCAACAGCTCATCAGGTCCCAAAAACCATTCATCTCCATGCAATCCTATCTAACACACTCATGCACCCTTGATGAAAGTCCAAGCCCCTCGCCCACAAAACGTCCTTTACCCCCTCCCTCCAAACTTTCTGGGGATGACCCATACCCCACCTTCCTTCTCCAACAGATTTATATGCTCTCCAAGTCATTCTACTTTGTTCCATTCTCTCTAAATGATCAAACCACCTCAACAACCACTCTTCAGCCCTCTGACTAATACTTTTAGTAACCACAATCCATTTCCACACTCCGAATTCTCTGCATGATATTTACACCAAACATTGCCCTTAGACAGAGCATCTCCACTGCCTCCAACTGCCTCCTAGCTGCAGCACTTACAACCCATGCTTCACACCCATGTAAGTGTTGGTACCATTATACTCTCACATATTCCCTTCTTTGCCTCCATGGATAATATTTTTTTTTTTGTCTCCACAGATACCTCAATGCACCACTCACCTTTTTTCTTTCATCAGTTCCATGGTTAACCTCATCCTTCATTAACCCATCCATTGACAAGTCAACTCCCAAATATCTGAAAACATTCACTTCTTCCATACTCCCTCCTTCCAATGTGACATCCAATTTTTTTTTATTTAAATCATTTGATACCCTCATCACTTTACTCTTATCTATGTTCACTTTCAACTTTCTACCTTTACACACCCTCCCAAACTCATCCACTAACCTTGGATCTAATACACTTTTTTTTTTTCAACAAGTCAGCTGTCTCCCACTGAGGCAGGGTGACCCAAAAAAAAAAGAAAATATTCCCCCCCAAAATACTTTCATCATTATTCAACACTTTCACCTCATCTCTTTCTCAACAGAGGCACTCAGACATGACAGTTTAGAAGTCCCTCCAAACTGTCAATATCCCAGACCCCTCCTTTAACCCTTTCAGGGTCTGTGTTGTACTTCTACAACTTTGGAGGGTCCAAACCGTAGTTCTATGCCCCGAGCTTAGCTCACTCAGATAAGCTGTGAGCGGTAAATTTGAGCCTAGATATGAGAGAATACATCTATGTGGTATGTGTGCATCACATAAAACAAATCCTGCAGCACACAGTGCATAATGAGAGAAAAAACTGAGACCATAATTTTCGATTAAAACAGTGAATTTGCAGTATTTTTTCGTATGTTTTTTATAGTTGTATTGGGGATTTCTTGGTCTCATTTGATAGAATGGAAGATATATTACAGAAATAGGGATGATTTTGATTGGTTTTAATATTGGAAATGGCTTGAAACTGAGCTCAATATAGCAGAAATGTGAAATTTTTGCCGATGTTCAAGAGTAAACAAATAACCTCACACGTCTAATACATGCCAGCTGTTGGGTCTAATATATGTTCACAAATGTGGTGACATTATTTATATAATTATTACAGTATTGCATAACAGTAAATCTTCTGTTTTTTGGTTTGAATAAAACTTCATTATGTGAATAAAAAATAAAAATGGAATTAATTCGTAAAGCCTGAAAATGTAACTAATGAATAGAGGAAATGTTAGTTTAGTGCCAGGAATGCCTACATTGTTTATTCTGGACCCTATTTTGAAACTGGAATATTTTGAACTTTGCATTAAATTGGTCAAATTACCAATTTCTGATCACTATTTTCTAGTTGAAACAGTTGACTGGGCGATTTCTTGTGCTCAATCGGTAGAAAAGAAGTAATACTAGTGAAATAGCTAAGAATCTGGTTGACTGTTATAATGTAATTGGCCTAAAATGGGAGTCAAAGTCGGCAAAGTCGACGATGCATAAATATCATTGACACACGAAAATTTGTGAGAGTATAATTTCATCAATTTTTCAGCAGATTTCATACTTTTTGTTTTATTACCTTCAGAAAAAATTCTCTACAATTTCATAAGAAAACATAACAAATTTATTTTTTTTAAAATTCTTGGACCCTGGTGCACACTTTGAAATTTGGCTTCTGGACCCTGAAAGGGTTAAAGTGCAGGCATTGTACTTCCCATTTCCAGGGCTCAAATCCGGCTAAATCTATAATAACCGGTTTCCTTGAATCCCTTCACTAAATATTACCCTGCTCACACTCCAACAGCTCAACAAGTCCCAAAAACCATTCATCTCCATTTACTCCTATCTAACACACTCACACATGCTTGCTGGAAGTCCAAGTCTCTCACCCACAAAACCTCCTTTACCCCCTCCCTCCAACCTTCCGAAGGGCGACAACTACCCCTCCTTCCTTCCCCTGCAGATTTATACGCTCTCCAAGTCATTCTCTCTAAATGACCAAACCACCTCCACAACCCCTCTTCAGCCCTCTAATACTTTTAGTAACTCCACACCTCCTAATTTCCACACTCTGAATTCTCTGCATAATATTTACACCACACATTGCCATTAGAGTATCTCCACTGCCTCTAGCTACCTCCTAGCTGCAGCACCTACAACCTGTGCTTCACACCCATGTAAGAGTGTTGGTACCATTATACTCTCGTATATTCCCTTCTTTGCCTCCATGGATAACGTTTTTTTTTTTGTCTCCACAGATACCTCAACACACCACTCACCTTTTTTTCTTCATCAGTTCTATGGTTAATCTCATCTTTCATAAACCCATCCGCTGACAAGTCAACTCCCAAATATCTGAAAACATTCACTTCTTTCCTACTCCCTCTCTCCAATGTGATTTCCAATTAAAAAAAGTTTGCAAATCGCTGCTACAACCTGGCCAGTATGCCTCTGCTAATATACTTATTTATTTTAATTTTACAATAAGTTTGAGACAAGACATGGCGGAAAGAATTGATTTAGGTGACAACATTTGGAATGAATCTGCACTGGGCCAATCCTTCTTTCAAGTACCAATTTTTAATACAGTTTACTAATAAGTATACTTACCTCCATCATCAAGTAAATTTATAAGCATTTTTGACCGAAAGCGCAGATGGAAGACATGATTCAAGATGTTTAATTGTTGCTGGAAATAGGTCCAAATGTTGTTGTAATTATTTACATATGAAGCCACAAGCTGTGATGTGTTCTCTTCTACATTAACCACTTCAAGCAGGACAGTATTTTTGTCATCTAGTTATAAAGAAAATTGTGTTAAATAAATTAATATTATTTAAACTAAATTAACTAATATTTGTTTTTCAGCAGCATTATGTATTATGAGAAATTAAACAAGTACAGCATATGTTAATGATATATCTATTAATCATAGGTCTATACATGCATAAAATCCTGTATTAAATCACTGTCTGTTCAATTAATAAATATTTTGCCCACATATGTTATACATACTTGTGCTAAATTATGCAAAATTATGTCCTAGGCCATGTTACCTTTCGTATGTTTGGGTTCTGATGAACCATGTAGTAATAACTACCTGTTAGTTTTATCTTTATTTCAACAGTACTTTGAGTTTCCTGCCGTACTTTCTAGCTCAGATGGCTGCTCTATTTCATTCTGTTTTCTCTTGAAAAGTCACTTTTCTTTTGTTACTATCGGAAATTAGTTAGCAGCAATAAGATGTGCAACACTAATCAGTCAGTAAAGTACAGCACACCTCTTTCTGCTCAATATAAAAAAAAAAGCTTAAGATGAACATGTTTTTACAAGCAATATATGGTACTGTCCTTGTTATTTGAATTTGCAGTAGACCTGTGCTCAACTAGGCTGGAGGATGGTGAAAGTCATGTGTGTTGCAAGGCTCAAAGGTTTTACTGTAGTGGAACAACAGGTTCTGATTTAAAATAATAGTCTCTCCTCACTTAACGATGGAGTTTCATTCCTAAGGCCACATCAAGAAACGAATTCATCGCTGAGTGAGGAGCATACTATAATGGTAGTGGGTTTGTGTCAACCATGTTTGATACTGTTTTATTGTCACCTTTGCACCATTTATATTATTATTTTTTTATTATCACACTGGCCGATTCCCACCAAGGCAGGGTGGCCCGAAAAAGAAAAACTTTCACCATCATTCACTCCATCACTGTCTTGCCAGAAGGGTGCTTTACACTACAGTTTTTAAACTGCAACATTAACACCCCTCCTTCAGAGTGCAGGCACTGTACTTCCCATCTCCAGGACTCAAGTCCGGCCTGCCGGTTTCCCTGAATCCCTTCATAAATGTTACTTTGCTCACACTCCAACAGCACGTCAAGTATTAAAAACCATTTGTCTCCATTCACTCCTATCAAACACGCTCATGCATGCCTGCTGGAAGTCCAAGCCCCTCGCACACAAAACCTCCTTTACCCCCTCCCGCCAACCCTTCCTAGGCCGACCCCTACCCCGCCTTCCTTCCACTACAGACTGATACACTCTTGAAGTCATTCTGTTTCGCTCCATTCTCTCTACATGTCCGAACCACCTCAACAACCCTTCCTCAGCCCTCTGGACAACAGTTTTGGTAATCCCGCACCTCCTCCTAACTTCCAAACTACGAATTCTCTGCATTATATTCACACCACACATTGCCCTCAGACATGACATCTCCACTGCCTCCAGCCTTCTCCTCGCTGCAACATTCATCACCCACGCTTCACACCCATATAAGAGCGTTGGTAAAACTATACTCTCATACATTCCCCTCTTTGCCTCCAAGGACAAAGTTCTTTGTCCTCACAGACTCCTAAGTGCACCACTCACTCTTTTTCCCTCATCAATTCTATGATTCACCTCATCTTTCATAGACCCATCCGCTGACACGTCCACTCCCAAATATCTGAATACATTCACCTCCTCCATACTCTCTCCCTCCAATCTGATATTCAATCTTTCATCACCTAATCTTTTTGTTATCCTCATAACCTTACTCTTTCCTGTATTCACCTTTAATTTTCTTCTTTTGCACACCCTACCAAATTCATCCACCAATCTCTGCAACTTCTCTTCAGAATCTCCCAAGAGCACAGTGTCATCAGCAAAGAGCAGCTGTGACAACTCCCACTTTGTGTGTGATTCTTTATCTTTTAACTCCACGCCTCTTGCCAAGACCCTCGCATTTACTTCTCTTACAACCCCATCTATAAATATATTAAACAACCACGGTGACATCACACATCCTTGTCTAAGGCCTACTTTTACTGGGAAAAAATTTCCCTCTTTCCTACATACTCTAACTTGAGCCTCACTATCCTCGTAAAAACTCTTCACTTGTTTCAGTAACCTACCTCCTACACCATACACTTGCAACATCTGCCACATTGCCCCCTTATCCACCCTGTCATACGCCTTTTGCAAATCCATAAATGCCACAAAGACCTCTTTAGCCTTATCTAAATACTGTTCACTTATATGTTTCACTGTAAACACCTGGTCCACACACCCCCTACCTTTCCTAAAGCCTCCTTGTTCATCTGCTATCCTATTCTCCGTCTTACTCTTAATTCTTTCAATTATAACTCTACCATACACTTTACCAGGTACACTCAACAGACTTATCCCCCTATAATTTTTGCACTCTCTTTTATCTTTTATATTATTTCTGGTATATTTTTAAATATTTATTATATAGTAGTGTACTGTACACTGCAATAAATAGAATATTTGTCAGAGAGCCTGTTGTAACTCTGAGTCATCAGTAAACGAGTATGTCGCTAAGTGAGGAGAAGCTAATAATAATAATAATAATAATAATAATAATAATAATAATAATGGGGAAGTGGAACAGAATTCTTCCTCCGTAAGCCATGTGTGTTGTAAGAGGCGACTAAAATGCCGGGAGCAAGGGCCTAGTAGCCCCTTCTCCTGTATAAATTACAGTGGACCCTCAACCAGCGATGGCATCAATTAACGATAAATCTGACTAGCGATTCATTTAAACGCAAAAATTTTGCCTCGACTAGCGCTTAAAAACCCGACCAGTGCTATTCGTTCCGTACCATACGCGTCCACTTTGGCCTGAGCGCGCCTCACTTGTCCCTTTGGTGCCAGTGTTTACAAGCCAGCCAGCCACCGCGGTCGCTTCCAAACATACAACTGGAACATTTCATATTATCACAGCCTTTTTAGTGATTGCACCTGCAAAATAAGTCACCATGGGCCCCAAGAAAGCTTCTAGTGCCAACCCTACAGCAAAAAGGGTGAGAATTACTATGGAGATGAAGAAAGAGATCATTGATAAATATGAAAGTGGAGTGCGTATCTCTGAGCTGGTCAGGTTGTATAATAAACCCCAATCAACCATCGCTACTATTGTGGGCAAGAAAACGGCAATCAAGGAAGCTGTTCTTGCCAAGGGTGCAACTATCTTTTCGAAACTGAGATCGCAAGTACTCGAAGATGTTGAGAGACTGTTATTGGTGTGGATGAACGAGAAACAGATAGCAGGAGACAGCATCTCTCAAGCGATCATATGTGAAAAGGCTAGGAAGTTGCACGACGATTTAATTAAAAAAATGCCAGCAACTAGTGATGTGAGTGAATTTAAGGCCAGCAAAGGTTGGTTTGAGAGATTTAAGAAGTGTAGTGGCATTCATAGTGTGATAAGGCATGGTGAGGCTGCCAGTTCGGACCACAAATCGGCTGAAAAATATGTGCAGGACTTCAAGGAGTACATAGACAGAGAAGGACTGAAACCTGAACAAGTGTTTAATTGTGACGAAACAGGCCTGTTTTGGAAGAAAATGCCAAGCAAGACGTACATTACTCAGGAGGAAAAGGATGTGGAAGAGTTGGTGGTGGAGGACAGTGAAGAACTAACCACTGATGAGCTGCTAGATCATCTTGAACAGCAAGAGGGCAGACCTGAGGAAACTGCTTCGGAGGAGGGGAGAGAGAAATTGAAGAAGTTGCCTACTTCTAAGATTAAGGAAATCTGTGCAATGTGGCTTAAAGTGCAAAGCTTTACGGATGATAATCACCCTGACACAGCTACTGCAAGCCGTGTTGGCAACCTGTACACTGACAATGTTGTGAACCACTTTAGGAAAGTCATAAAGGAACGAGAGGTACAGGCCTCTATGGACAGATATGTTGTGCGACAGAAGTCCAGTGACTCTCAAGCTGGTCCTAGTGGCATTAAAAGAACAAGGGAAGTAACCCCAGAAAAAGACTTGCTGCCTCAAGTGCTAATGGAAGGGGATTCCCCTTCTAAACAGTAAGAAGATAACGCTCTCCCCTCCTCCCATCCCATCAATCATCACCAGATCTTCAATAAAGGTAAGTGTCATGTAACTGTGCATGTAATCTTCAGTTTGTGTGTATTAAAATTAATATTTCATGTGGTAAAAATTTTTTTTTTCAATACTTTTGTGTGTCTTGCACGGATTAATTTGATTTCCATTATTTCTTATGGGGAAAATTAACTTGACTAATGATTATTTTGACTAACGATGAGCTCTCAGGAACGGATTAATATCGCTGGTTGAGGGTCCACTGTACTAAATTTAAAAAAAGAAACTCTCGTTTTTCTTTGGGCCACCCTGCCTTGGTGGGATATGGCTGGTTTGTTGAAAATAATAATAATAATAATAATAATAATAATAATAATGGGGAAGAGGAACAGAATTCTTCCTCCGTAAGCCATGCATGTCGTAAAAGGCAAATGAAGTGCCAGGATCAAGGGGCTGGTAACTCCTTCTCCTGTATACATTACTGAAGTTAAAAAGAGAAACTTTCATTTTTCTTTTTAGGTCACCCTGCCTCAGTGGGATATGGCCAGTTTGATGAAAATAATAATAATAATAATAATAATAATAATTATATGATAATAGAAAAGAGTAAGGAAATGAGGGTATCATCAAACAAGTTAAGAAAAGAAAACCTGGATATTACATTGGAAGGAAGGAGTAAGGAAGTGAATGTGTTCAGATATTTGGGAGTGGATTTGTCAGCACATGGGTTTATGAAGGATGAGGTTAAGTAAAGAATTGATGAAGGAAAAAAAAGTGAGTGGTGCACTGAGGTATCTGTGCAGACAAAAAACGTTATCCATGGAAGCAAAGCAGGGAATGTTCGAGAGTGTAATGGTACTGACGCTCTTATATGGGTGTGAAGCATGGGCTGTGAATGCTGCAGCGAGAAAGAGGCCGAAGGCAGTAGAGATACTGTGTCTAAGGGCAATGTGTAGTGTAAATATTATGCAGAGAATTCATAGTGTGGAAATTAGAAGGAGGTGTGGAGTTGCTAAAAGTATTATTCATAGGGCTGAAGATGGGTTATTGAGGCGGTTCGGTCATTTAGAGGGGATGAAAGAAAATAGGTTGATTTGGAGGGTGTAAAATCTGTAGTGGAGGGGGAGAGAGGTAAGGGTCATTCTAGAAAAGGATGGAGGGAGGGGGTAAAAGAGGTTTTGTGTGCAAGGAGCCTGGACATGCAGCAAGCATGTGTGAGCATGTTAGATAGGAGTGAATGGAAATAAATGGATTTTGGGACCAGCCGAGCTGCTGAAGTGTGAATAAGGTAATATTTTGTGAAGGGATTCAGGGAAATCGGTTACCTGGACTTGAGTCATACCCCACTCTACATCATTAATTGGTTCCAAGGGCTGTGACATAACCTGGTTTTTGATGTAAACCAGACATGATGCCTTAAAAATGCCTTAAAATGATGACAAACACTGAAAAACTAGTGTAAATAACTCACAAAAGAATATAACTATTGCTAAACCTTAAAGAACACTAAAAACACATTTCATCATATTTTTTAAAGAATAATGAATACAATTTAAAAAATTATGATGGTGACATTGCTGAGTAACATAAAGTCAGACGCAATGATGTTTGCCGAGCAGAAATTTACTGTAGAAAAGTGGTATAAAGGCGAATTTGACATAGGCTGAAATGATGTAAAGCAGGGTATGACTGTACAATGTTTACACTTTAAACCAAAAACATGGCCAAAGTTTCTTTTTTCTCATTATGCACTGTGTGCTGCATGATTTTTTTTATATTGCGCACAGTGACCACATAAACCCATTCTTTCATATGTAGGCCTACCAGCTTTCTCTTGCTAGATTTGAGGGCGCTAGAATTTATGCGTACTAGTACATCAAAAACCCTGGCGCATAAGCCATACTAGTACGTCGGAAACCCCGAAAGGGTTAAAGGAGGCATTTGGGATATTGGCTGTTTGGAGTGACATCTAAACTGTCATATTTGTGCACCTCTGCAAAGACAGTGATATTGTGCGAATGATGGCGAAAGTATTGAATGATGGTGAGAGTGTTCCTTTCTTTTTTTGGGTCACCCTGCGTTGGTGGGAGACGGCCGATGTGTTAAAAAAATTTTTTTATTGCTATGAGTATATGTACAACATATACATACTACTATACAGAAAGCCCCTTGCTATGCAGATTATTTCAGGAAAATTAGGTCAATTTTGTCCCCAGGATGCAACTCACACCAGTCGACTAACACCCAGGTATCTATTTTACTGATAGGTGAACAAGGACAGCAGGTGTCTTTAGGAAATACATCCTAATGCTTCCAGCTACTGGGGATTGAACCACAAACCAGAATGTATGAGCTGAGTGTGCTAGCAATCATGCTAGCAAAAGCTGAGTGCAGCTCAATTCAAAATGAAAAATATTACAACAAAAGGAAATAAGGGCAAGAAGAGTCCTCAGCAGATCTTTCAATGGTTGCTGAAGATGATTTACAAAGGAGTATTAATCATTAATGATCATTATCACCTCTTACTAACATGCAGGATTTTGATAAGATTCAGAAAGTTCTTTGCTTATGCAACCAGGGATTTCCACCAACTGCCCATTAGGAGATCATACTCTGTGGGGCCCCAGCATTACCAAGACAGTTAACAGGTGAACAACTGGTAGGGAAGGAAGAAATTTCCTTGATAAGTTTGATGCTATGCTTAAAACTTACTGCCAGATTCAGACAAATAATTGTGGCTTCTACAAAATCAGAGCCTAAGTTACTTAATTAAAAGATAAAGATAAGATAAAGATAAAGGTTTATATCTTTGTAAAGATTACAGTGTGTAATTACAATTTTGGTTTGCTAAGCACAAAGAAAGCCACTATCATGCTTGGGCATTTCGGGCAGACTAATCCTAGTACATAATAACTACTTAAAACTAGACAAGGTAATAGTGGTTAACTTTATTACACTCTTATTTAATCTTAATACTAATGAAGTTGTACATAATAAAAACAATATCACAATTAATGGTTCAGCCAGTAATATTTCATGGACCAGCAGATGTTCAAAAGTCTAGAGGTCACATAACATAACTAATTAGAAGTTGTTTTGGTTGAGTTGGTTAGTACTGAGAGATAAGGTGAGTTTTTAGCAAAATCCTAAATTTATAAGTAGTCAGGGGACCCTTTACCAGTTCCGGCAGTGAGTTCCCAGATCTTCGGGCCTTTTATGTGCACAGCATTTTTGCACAGTGTGAGACTGACACAAGGGATGCTGAAGAGTGCCTTATGCCTTGTATTGTAACTGTCAAGGAGTAGTTTAAGTGGAGGGTTTATAGTGGAATTTAATATTCTGTATATGTAGCAGGAACAATAATATAAGTGTATGTCTCGTATATTTAGCAAGTTCAAGCTTTTGAAAAGTGGTGGAGTGTGCTGTCTAGCACAGGAGCTGGTAATTATTTGCACAGCAGCTTTTTGTTGGGTTATAAAAGGTTTACGGTAGTTGGCTGTGGTTGATCCTCAGGCACAAAAGAGGTTTTAATCCTTTCTTTCTCAGGTGTATATCACATATGAAACACCTAAAGTTAATTTTTTTTAGAAGACTTCTGCACATACTGTATATTCATTGAGCAAGGCTGTTATGTTGTTGATATCTGCCAAGATTCATTTAACTCTTTTGCCATAATACAGAAAATACAGTACATACATACATAATTTTTTTCTGCCCTAATAAATCACTGGGTAGGGGTCAAACAATTTATAGATCCTGATTCCACCCTGATAAAATGCCTTTTTGACAGTAGATGGAGAGCACATGCAAAGGTTACTTCAGCCATATCAGATTGTTATGGTTCAAACATGGATTCATTTCATCGTCTTCACAATGCTGAGTGAAAAAGGTAATATAAGGAGTGTAGTTGGTATTCTAAATGATAAAATGAAGGCCTTATAATTTTGTTAATGTGATAAGGGATAAGATTTTTGCCCTATTTTTAAATTGAAGAATGTCACCTGGAAAACAATTCATTTGTAAGATGAGAAGCACTGAACTATACAAGTTCTCATTTACTCACACATACCTATCATGGCTTCAACATATAATATTTAGTGGTTATTCTCAACATATTTTTGTCAAATCTTACTCTTACCAAAAATTCTGCATATCAGTAACATAGCTGAAATCTACATATTCAGTGTGAATGGAGTATTCTTACAGTTACGAGTTATATGTACTTACATTCGCTGTGAAGATTGCTCATGTAGAAGTGTAAACAATATTGACTTCCTTGTGGTGTGATATCACTGCTCACAAGATCACCATAACAAGATGACCCATAGTTACATTGTGCCAAGTCAAAGGAGACATAGTGGCCTGAAAAGTAAAATAAAAAACATATATATTAATTTTTTTTTTTAACACGGTGGCCATCTTCTACTGAGGTAGGGTGACCCAAAAAAAAAAAAAATCACTTTCACCATCAATGACACTATCACTGTCTTGCCAGAGGCATGCAGATACAACAGGTTAGATGTCATTCTAAACAGAAAATGTCCCAAACCCCTCCTTTAGAGTACAGGTACTGTACTTTCCACCTCCAGGACTCAAGCCCTTGTTCATACTTCAACAGATCGTCAAGTTCCAAAAGCCATTTGCCTCCACTCACTCCTATCTAACATGCTCACACATCCAGCAAGCATGTGTGAGTGTGTTAGATAGGAGTGAATGGAAACAAGTGGTTTTTATGACTCGATGTGCTGTTGGAATGTGAGCATGGTAACATTTATGAAGAGATTCAGGGAAACTGGCTAGCCAGACTTGAGTACTAGAGGTGAGTAGTTACAGTGCCTGCACTCTATAGGAGAGGTGGTGATATTTGCAGTTCTGAAATGTAGTATTGGCATGCCATCAGTGAAGATGAAAGTGTTTCTTCTTTTTCGGGTCAATCTACCTCAGTGGAAGACAGCCGGTGTGCTGAAAGAAAAAATTTAGATACTTTGAACCAGTGGATGAAACATGTGATACTTGGCAATACTAGTTTTCTTTATAGGCTTCTAGAGCTAGCAACTACACTACTGTGTATGAGTATTGCATAGGTTTCCTTTCCTTTTTTCAGCTGAGAAAAAATGCTAAAGTCATCCAGAGATTGGCCAAACAGAGAAGGCAGGGTAATATTTTGTGAAGGGATTCAGACAAACCAGTTAGCCAGACTTGAGTTTTGGAGGTGGGAAGTACAATGCCTGCACTTTAAAGGAGGGGTTTGGGATATTGGCTGTTTGAAGTGACATCTGAACTGTCGTATGTGAGCACCTCTGCAAAGACAGTGATTACGTGTGAATGATGGTTAAAATGTTGAATGATGGTAAGAGTACAGTGGACCCTTGAATTTAGTAGTGCCTTTTCTGTATGCAAAACTATTTTTATTATCTATAAAATGTATGTTTTGTTAATATTTCCCATAGGAAATAATGTAAATCCAATTAAACCATTCCAGACACCCAAAAAATTAACAAAAAATACATTTTATAGATAAAAATAGATTTGCATACAGTATTTTTTTTTTTACAACAGGCAGTTTTCCTTCAAAGTTGAGTTTCTCATGAAAGGAAACACATTTATCACCATTCATTCATTAGCTGTCTTGCAAGAAGTGTGGACATCACAACTCAAGTGAGTGAATTGCAATATCTCCATCTATCCTTTGGGATGCAGGCCTTATATGAACTTCCTGTTTACAGAAGTTTGGCTCATACTCCAACAGCAGATTAAGTCCCAAAAACCACATTTGTGCTCTCTCTTATCTAATAACCTCACACATGCCTGCTGGATGCTCAAGCATATACCCTTCAAGAATTTCCTTCACCCCCTATCTCCAGCTCTTTCTGGGTCATCCCCAGCTAAGTCTTCTGTCAATCCCTCATTTAAGCACCCTTTTGGCCAGTCTATTCTGCTCCATCCAGATTCAAGAGGGTTTGGTTCCTAGAAATCTTTGTATTATTCAAAATTCACAAATATAGTGCTATACAACTACCATTAAATTCTGTCCCTATAAATTTTATTTCATTTTTTTTTTTCAACAAGTCGGCCGTCTCCGACCGAGGCAGGGTGACCCAAAAAAGAAAGAAAATCCCCAAAAAGAAAATACTTTCATCATCATTCAACACTTTCACCACACTCACACATTATCACTGTTTTTGCAGAGGTGCTCAGAATAGAACAGTTTAGAAGCATATACATATAAAGATACACAACATATCCCTCCAAACTGCCAATATCCCAAACCCCTCCTTTAAAGTGCAGGCATTGCACTTCCCATTTCCAGGACTCAAGTCCGACTATATGAAAATAACCGGTTTCCCTGAATCCCTTCACTAAATATTACCCTGCTCACACTCCAACAGATCGTCAGGTCCCAAGTGCCATTCGTCTCCATTCACTCCTATCTAACACGCTCATGCACACTTGCTGGAAGTCCAAGCCCCTCGCCCACAAAACCTCCTTTACCCCCTCTCTCCAACCCTTTTGAGGACGACCCCTACCCCTCCTTCCTTCCCCTATAGATTTATATGCTTTCCATGTCATTCTACTTTGATCCTTTTGCACTCTCTCACCACTCTTTTCACCTTTCTTTTACTCTCCATATACTCTACTCTTCTTATAACACTTCTGCTTTGTAAATACCTCTCTTAAGCTAACTTTTTCTCTTTTATCACACCCTTTGAAGATTGAGACACTTATGCAGCATATGGGAATCTTTATACAGGAAACGTTTCGCCACACAGTGGCTTCATCAGTCCAATACAAAGAGGAAGGCGTAAGGAGAGGAGGAGTATGAGGTAATCAGTCCCTCAGCCTGGAGTCGATGTGTTCAGTCCATCAATCAACAAGATTGATCAACAAGATTGATGGACTGAACACATCGACTCCAGGCTGAGGGACTGATTACCTCATACTCCTCCTCTCCTTACGCCTTCCTCTTTGTATTGGACTGATGAAGCCACTGTGTGGCGAAACGTTTCCTGCATAAAGATTCCCATGTGCTGCATAAGTGTCTCAATCTTCAAAGGGTGTGATAAAAGAGAAAAAATTAGCTTAAGAGAGGTATTTACAAAGCAGAAGTGTTATAAGAAGAGTAGAGTATATGCAGAGTAAAAGAAAGGTGAAGAGAGTAGTGAGAGAGTGCAAAAGGTGAGCGGATGATAGAGTGGCAGAGGTACTGTCAAGGAATTTTAATGAAAATAAGAAAAAATTTTGGAGTTAAACAAATTAAGAAAGCCTAGGGAACAAATGGATTTATCAGTTAAAAACAGAGAAGGGGAGTTAGTAGAAGAGGAGATGGAGGTTTTGGGTAGATGGCGAGAATATTTTGAGGAACTTTTAAATGTCGAAGAAGAAAGGGAGGCGGTAATTTCATGCATTGGCCAGGGAGGTATATCATCTTTTAGGAGTGAAGAAGAGCAGGATGTGAGTGTGGGGGAGGTGCGTGAGGCATTACATAGGATGAAAGGGGGTAAAGCAGCTGGAACTGATGGGATCATGACAGAAATGTTAAAAGCAGGCAGTTACATAGTGTTGGAGTAGTTGGTATTTTTGTATTATTTGTTTAATAAAGGAGAGCAGATGAAAGAGTGGGAGAGGCACTGTCAAGAAATTTTAATGAAAATAAGAAAAAATTTTGGAGTGAGTTAAACAAGTTAAGAAAGCCTAGGGAAAGTATGGATTTGTCCGTTAAAAACAGAGTAGGGGAGTTAGTAGATGGGGAGAGGGAGGTATTAGGTAGATGGCGAGAATATTTTGAGGAACTTTTAAATGTTGACGAAGAAAGGGAGGCGGTAATTTCATGCAATGGCCAGGGAGGTATACCATCTTTTAGGAGTGAAGAAGAGCAGAATGTAAGTGTGGTGGAGGTACGTGAGGCATTACGTAGAATGAAAGGGGGTAAAGCAGCTGGAACTGATAGGATCATGACAGAAATGTTAAAAGCAGGGAGGCATATAGTGTTGGAGTGGTTGGTACTTTTGTTTAATAAATGTATGAAAGAGGGGAAGGTACCTAGGGATTGGCAGAGAGCATGTATAATCCCTTTATATAAAGGGAAAGGGGACAAAAGAGATTGTAAAAATTATAGAGGAATAAGTTTACTGAGTATATCAGGAAAAGTATATGGTAGAGTTATAATTGAAAGAATTAGAGGTAAGACAGAATGTAGAATTGCGGATGAGCAAGGAGGCTTCTGAGTGGGTAGGGGATGTGTAGATCAAGTGTTTACATTGAAGCATATATGTGAACAGTATTTAGATAAAGGTAGGGAAGTTTTTATTGCATTTATGGATTTAGAAAAGGCATATGATAGAGTGGATAGAGGAGCAATGTGGCAGATGTTGCAAGTTTATGGAATAGGTGGTAAGTTACTAAATGCTGTAAAGAGCTTTTATGAGGATAGTGAGGCTCAGGTTAGGGTTGTAGAAGAGAGGGAGAATACTTCCCGGTAAAAGTAGGTCTTAGACAGGGATGTGTAATGTCCACCATGGTTGTTTAATATATTAATAGATGGGGTTGTAAAAGAAGTAAATGCTAGGGTGTTCGGGACAGGGGTGGGATTAAATTATGGGGAATCAAATTCAAAATGGGAATTGACAGTTACTTTTTGCTGATGATACTGTGCTTATGGGAGATTCTAAAGAAAAATTGCAAAGGTTAGTGGATGAGTTTGAGAATGTGTGTAAAGGTAGAAAGTTGAAAGTGAACATAGAAAAGAGTAAGGTGATGAGGGTATCAAATGATTTAGATAAAGAAAAATTGGATATCAAATTGGGGAGGAGGAGTATGGAAGAAGTGAATGTTTTCAGATACTTGGGAGTTGACGTGTCGGCGGATGGATTTATGAAGGATGAGGTTAATCATAGAATTGATGAGGGAAAAAAGATGAGTGGTGCGTTGAGGTATATGTGGAGTCAAAAAACGTTATCTATGGAGGCAAAGAAGGGAATGTATGAAAGTATAGTAGTACCAACACTCTTATATGGATGTGAAGCTTGGGTGGTAAATGCAGCATCGAGGAGACGGTTGGAGGCAGTGGAGATGTCCTGTCTAAGGGCAATGTGTGGTGTAAATATTATGCAGAAAATTGGGAGTGTGGAAATTAGGAGAAGGTTTGGAGTTAATAAAAGCATTAGTCAGAGGGCAGAAGAGGGGTTGTTGAGGTGGTTTGGTCATTTAGAGAGAATGGATCAAAGTAGAATGACATGGAAAGCATATAAATCTATAGGGGAAGGAAAGAGGGGTAGGGGTCGTCCTCGAAAGGGTTGGAAAGAGGGATAAAGGAGGTTTTGTGGGCGAGGGGCTTGGACTTCCAGCAAGCGTGCATGAGCGTG